TACACCTAGTCAAGTTTCTTACATAAATAAATGGTTCTTTAAACATATTATCACGCACATCTTTTACTGAAATGTCTTACTAAGATTTCCTAGAATTTATACCTTTGTCTATGCTAAATCTATCATATTTCTATAAAATGTTTAAAAAAATGCAATTAGCTAAAAACAACGGAGTTAATGAAAGGTGTACATTCTTTTAAAATAAATGGAAAATTTGAGAAAAATATATTTTGAGCTTAATTATTGATACAAATTCTTCATTTGCTGAAAGTTCTTCACATACTGATCAAGACCATTTAAATCGATATTGATTCTACTATAATTCAGAGCACATGTTTTGCGTCTATTTAATACCTTAAATGTTGTTAACCATTGGATTTGACTACAATATATAATTTAAAACATAATGAAAATTAATTTTTATGACCCCAAAGTGCGGTCGTTTGTCTGATGTTAAAAAAGGCACAAGTACCTGTTTAACGCACTTTGGGGTCGGACCCCAATGTGCGTTTGACCCCAAAGTGCGGTGTTATGCTGGTCTCTAATTTCAACCTTGGTGTAGGTTATTTTCACGATTTCGAGAACAAACATGACGTTGTCAATATAACCGACAGGTGAACTGGCAAGCAATCTTGCCCATTAAAATTGACTCTATTATTTTATTAATCACGTAAATTACTTCAAAGATTTTTTTGTTAACAAAAAATTAACCATTTCTTTAACTTCCACTGGTAACGGTATTTCGATACGTCTTGTGACGATTATGTAAAAACCGGTTTGATTGCACGGCTCAAAATAGCTTTCGCGTGAAATCCGACGAAACATATACGGTCATCATCAGATCTACATGAAAACATAAGTAGATCTGAACTTTAGTCAGATGGAGACGCAACTGGATTGAAAATAAATGTTACCTAAATAATTGTTCTAATTAAAACGGTTAACGTTTGAAAATACTTTTTTGTAGTTTCATTAGGTAACGTTTTCATTAGGATTTTTATGATCTGTTTTCTATCTGGTAATCTTGACATAAATGATTATGTCTATTTCTAACACGATCGCACGATCGTTTTTTTATTCTACAAAACTATTTATAATTTTGTTTCAGTGTGAATTATGAAAGCAGCAAATTAAAATGATTTTTTTTCCGCGCTGATTTTAAAAGTGGTTGTATATTAAGTCAAACGACACAGTAAAGGTCAAACGGCGGCTTAATTGGTGACGAAATACCACAGACACCTGTACATAATGTACTTCAGGGCTCACCGCCTACAAGCGCTCAAAAGTGATTCAAGTGAACTGATCAAACGTCCCTGATAAATAGATAAGAAATTTAAAGACCTACGCTTTGATTTATGTCAAAAATTTGATTTCTTCGTCTTTTTTTTCGTCTTCTGCTCCTCCTTCTTCTTTTACATTATTTACTTTTATTTTAATTATTACTTTGCAAACTATGCTTTGATTTTTAATGTAAATTACTGACATTATTCAAAATGTGACTTTTGAAAATCGTTTCAACTTAAATCAGCGAATAATGTTAAATACCGCTTTTTAATATCAAATCATCTACCTTTAATTAAAACATTATCAAATACAATATACATGTTTTTTTTTAAAAAGTCACAGGAATATTTGCAAATCACTTTGGAAACAATTAATTTATAACAATCTATTCCACAAAGTTTTCAACCTTCAGCGTAATAACATAGTGTGATTTAAGAAGATTAACATGTGATTGATAAAAAACCAGCAAACTCCTTGATAATGTAGGGTTTTGAGGGGTTTTAACCGGAGGTTGAAAACTTTGTGGAATAGATAGTTTCGAATCATTGCAGTTTTTAAAATCAGATTTGGGTGCACCTTCTGCGTATTTTAGATTTGACATATTTATAAAAAAAAAAACGTTTTACATGTTACATAACCGAGAAAAATGCAAGACATGTAATTATTTAATTTTACCCATGAAATATGGTGCTATATCAGTCAATTATATTTCATATTTTTTTTAATTTTCTAAAAAAGAAAGTGGGCGAAGTCAAAACTAATATTTATTTTAAGGGACTTCTTCCGCCATTTTGTTTGAAAAATCTGATAAATACAAAACAACTTTTGTTGAATTTTGCTTTGAAAACTATCTAGAATGATAGAAAATGGTCTAAATAAGAAAATAAATCCGAACACCAATATCTTTAATTCAGTTATTAACTCTGTACAGACGTTTAAACAGTTGTTTACGTGACGTCACAAGGTAGCGCAAAACAAGACGCAATAATATATTACTGCGCGCTGTTAAATTTCAGTTGCGTAGCCAAACTCCTCACAGTGATTACCTCCCTTGGCAGAATTGTAATCACTGCCTTCACAGACGTCACATGATGATGGAAGTCACATGACGTAACGTCGAAATTCAAATGTAAATATCGATTGTTGCATAGAAATCTAACGTCATTTTTCTCTTTCTGTTTTATTTTTAACTTTTTGTACCAACGTCTGTTATATTTTATCAAAAAATCATCAAAAATATACAAAATAATGAAAAATAAATTAAAAAGCTAAAAAATATAAATATCCAAATATTGATATTTCAATGTTTGTGATGGCAGAGATCTCTGTACTGATAAGGGGAGATCACTGCGTAGGAGATTGTTGCGTAGCAAGCAATAGGGTTCGTAACCATTTTTCTTTGATAATGAAATTAAATACAAAGGTTACTTTTTCGTTTTTCATGAAATATATATTTTCACTCAACATCCCGGCTCGTGAAAATATGTGGCTTTTTATCATGTTTCGTGAAAATATATTCCATAATTCACTCAAACGAAAAAATATCCTCTTATTATTTACATAGCGATGTTTAACCTTACCATTATGGGATACGTTCGAATCTTCCGCTATTGTGTTGCACAATCGATTTTGCAACACCTAGCATCGTAATCGTAAAATCAATTATAAAATTAAATTATAAAACTGTTTAGATTATCTAAACAAAAGATAAACCCAAGATATTTCATTGAGAGAAAGTATTGTTATTTTGTCACGTACACATAATATTTACAAATTCACTATCACTCGCTTTATATTTCATTAGGTTGTCTATTTTTTTAAAATAGATAATTGAATTATTTACGTTTATTTTTATCACAAGGAAACAATCGATTATATATCAAATTTCTTGTTTTGATATTCAAGCAAAAATAGTGATGAAAATAAAAATAATTATGATTCATAATTACAATTCAAGCCATCAATAAATAAGGCAATACAATTAAGAAATGGTTATGCAATCTGTTAGTTGTCAGTTAAGATAGATATCTGCATTCCGAATACTGGCACTGTCATTTTAGTCAGTTGTAGTGTATTTCTATGCACATTTAATTTAAGTAACAAAGGTTTATTTTTCATTCCCACTTTCCCTTTTTTCCAAATATAACTGTGTTTATTCTTTCACCAATTACACAGTTATCTCCCCGTAGTCCCATTCATCATGAATACTACACTGAGCGGTGGCGTTAAGAATCGTCGGGAAAATTTCGCATATGGATATATCTTCATCAAACGCAAAAGCCTGGCAATTACTTGTTTCCATGCATACTATTCCACACATACTTTTTGCACGAATTCTCGTGTACATCCAAATCGGTTGTTGTGCCATCACATCCTCCCAGCATATCTTTGAAAACACGATTTCTTGTACAGGAATAGAGACGGAATTTATCCCATGTAATGTTTTTATTGAAGCCATGATGGCGAAAAGACAAACGACGTGGAAGTGCTGCATAATATTATTGCATGTGCGACAATTTTTCGTTCTTACAAGGTCCTGCTCTAGTTATAAACTAAGTGCAATACAACCACTGCTACCCGCAATATACTAGAACATTAAGTAAGACATTTTATTACTCCGCCGGTTGTTATTTGTATACTTTGGATAGGTGTAATATTTGCAAAGTATTGAGCGATTATTTGATGAAATATTTAAAAACCAAACATAACATATTTACGTTTCCTCTACCCATTGTACTTTGACTTAGATCTCTTAATTTAATGAAAACCTTTAAAACTGCATGCCTCCAGACTAGTGAAAATATTTCTTAGATTTGAAACAATAAAAAGATTTAAGATTCAGGTAACAATGTACATGTACGATTAATAACTTTTCATGAACATTAACATGTATATGACGGCATGCTGCTTCAAAAGAATTCCTTTGAATATTATGGTTAAAACATGAACACACTTGTGCAATATTTTCCTTATTGTATATTATTTTGTGATTTAATCATGTGTAACAGCACATTAAAATACGTGTCACTCAATAATCATTTACAACCAAACGCTCGTTTATTGTATCATATGAGCGGCCAATATCTTCCCATATTGGACAATGAAGTATCCAATTTGATTTTGCAATTTTGTAAAGTTGAGTGGAGTGCACATTTTCCGTGTCACGTCACTCGGTGAAATAAAATTTCATCTTACACAAAAACAAATAAACAAGTAACCTCTATTCATTTTTTGGCCTTACTTTGCATTTCCTCAATATATATTGGATTCATAACAAACAGATATTTAACATTTTTTGAACAATTCGGACTATATTTAGATTTGTATTAGCTGTGTACACGTGCAAAATACTCCAATATTGTACAATTTAACGTCAAATAACATAATTATGAGCCGTGTCACGACAAAACCAACATAATGCATTTGCGACCAGCATGGATCCAGACCAGCCTGCGCATCCGCGCAGTCTGATCAGGATCCATGCTGTTCGCTTACAAACCCTATTACAAGTAGAGAAACTGATAGCGAACAGCATGGATCCTGATCAGTCTGCGTGGATGCGCAGGCTGGTCTGGATCCATGCTGGTCGCAAACGCATTATGTTGGTTTTGTCGTGACACGGCTCATATAAATCAGCCATTTTGGTCTTAAGGATGGTAATATCACAAAGTATTTCATTTCTTAGAAATAAATTTAATAAACAACATACAATTAAGTTAATCAGAAGCATTTTAATATACAATGCAAATTATAACATGTATGACAAAACAGATAATTTATGGCAAGATTATCAAAGATTATGTCCACGATGCTGGACTTGTAAATTGTGCAAATAGTATGTATCGCTACAAACATATCTCGGATATGAAATCCAAGGGTTGCTGGAGAGGTGAAATTTCAACGTGATAATTGACTTCGGACAATGAGTCTAATGGTAATTTGTCTCTGACCACTAGTTAAGAAATCGTGTGGTATAAGCATTTGGTCACTTGCAAAGAGATTTGTTATTATTTCTTTGTTATCTGGAAAAGCCGGTAAGGTGGATTGACCGCCAAGATATGATGAAAATATTGAGCCGTGTAATGACAAAACCAACATAGTGCGTTTGCGACCAGCATGGATCCAGACCAGCCTGCTCATCCGTGCAATCTGATCAGGATCCATGCTGTTCGCTATCAGTTTCTCTACTTGAAATAGGGTTTGTAAGCGAACAGCATGGATCCTGATCAGACTGCGCGGATGCGCAGTCTGGTCTGGATCCATGCTGGTCGCAAACCCATTATGTTGGTTTTGTCGTGACGCGGCTCAAATATTGAAATCGTCGTAAAAACCAAACAAGTAAACAACAGACATATCTAACATTGTTAAAATGTGAATTGTATAAATTGTTTCATAGGTATAATTGTTCTTGCTAACACTTATAGTGACGTAAAAACTTATACAAAATATAAAAGATACTTTCCTGTATTAAACAAAAGAAAAGCAACATAACAAGAAAATATCACAGCATTGTGCGCACCAAGTTATCAACTATAACAATTTCCATGGTAAACATGAAAGTAAATTGATTATTTTTAGATATAAAGAATACGTTTTCATGACACGCGATAACATGACACGTGATAACATGACACGTGATAACATGTCATTTTATAACATCAAGTTATCTTATAACATCACTTCTTAAGATGAAAATGAGTGGGATCGCAAATCATTAGAATTAAAAGAGTCGCAGCTACAACCATGCAAACACCATGTAGAAATAGAACTATAGTGGAGAACATACTGACACCCTCCTGTAAATAGAGCAAACAAAAAGTTATTTCACATATATAGATATATATATATATATATATATATATATATATATATATATATATATATATATATATATATATATATATATATATATATATATATATATATATATATGTTTGTATAGAATAGGAGTCATGTTGGCTCATTTCTAAAATTAATAAAGTATTTGTTCTTTTCTGTTCTGTTCTATACATATATTTTTTACTAATGCTAATTACGCAAAACAATAACGGAGTATCAACAAATGCACATTTTATACATGTTGTGAAAAGTGTAAAAAACAACACAAGAAATACTTACAATTTTTCAATTCAGAAAACAAATAGCGTTGATAAAAGAAAGAAAAAACAACTACGTGCTTGGCTATTTTAATTTTTATCATTGACCCAAAAAGAAACAAAAGCTAGATTTAGTGGATGTCAAGTTAGTGTTATGATTAAAATAGTGATAGTTAGTTAAGCTAATACGAGTACAAAAGTTTTAGTATGGTGAAACAACTACTCAATTTTATATCTTAAATTAAGAAGATGTCTTGCAGATTTTTTTCTTTGAAAAAAGTTAATGTGAACTTATACTGGTGTTTCTTCAAGCAGCAATAATAAGAAAAATTGATAACATTGATATGTTCTCAGGGATACGAGATATACATGTGCACCTAAACTTTGTTACAAACCTTCTTATTCCCCGAAACACCGAGAGATGTTGTTTTGTAAGTGGTCAATGAATTACTCTGTAAAACACTCACGCGTTAGAAAAATTGTTTTGGAAAAATTTAATACCAAAATGACGGTTAAACAGCATTGGCCGCATTGAAATTTTTGTATGAACTTAACAATGATGTGGCTCCGTATAATACATCATATTCCATTGATATGTTTTTTTTTAAATACTATTAAACTTAATTCATAGTAATATATTATTATCCAATAACTGATTCTGTTGTTTTGTAACTTGTCAAATTAAAGGCACATTATGCATCAGAAATAAACGAATTGTTCATTCTTTAGGAAAGGCAAATATGAGTTTTATAATATTTGAGTAATGGCTCAAAAGCATTTAAGATGCTTATCTCTTGAAGAAGCTGCGTTGAGTGTGAAACTATTTGTTATAACAGTAACAAAATGTAAACAAAAGCACTATCTTTACTTCCTTTCAAATACTTAATTACTTTATTTTTACTTATTGCCAAAATGCAACAGATGCAAAAGATGGTTCAGGTATTTGGACACTGAATAACTGTTTAGACACAAAATCAAATGCTTTGAGAGATGTAAATAAAAGCTTTTCTGGAGCATAATGGGCCTTTAAACGATTAAAATTTTAGCAGTTAACACTTTGCGTCAAGAATTTTAAAAAGCCAAACAGTATCGAATTATTTATTATTGAAAGGCTCATGTTTGAAAGATAAACAGACGGAAAGTTGAAATCTTTGGCATGATGCATTTTTTTAAATTTCATTTCGTTTATTTTACTTGTTCAAAGAAAATATTCTTAGACATCACAAATTTCTTATGACTTTCTATAAAGTTCAGGGAACCTTGGTCAGGGATCTCTACAATACTGTTTAATTCATACAAACAAAGTTCAACTTTTATAAATATCTTGAAATGGCAATCATTATGGAATTTCAATTTAAAAAGGACTCCACCAGGTTTTTTATAACAGGAATGAAGTTTTTCCCCAGATTTATATTTCATTTAATTCTTGTCTGGGCCAATATCTTGTGTGAATTCAGATAACTTGCTCACCCCGTATTTCCCGAATAATATTTTCATTGCGCCAAATGACACAAAATTCAAAAGCGTTTAACCGCACAGAATTGATTTTGATTTTCATTTTGGATGTATTTCTTATTTGCTTTTGCACAATTTTCGTGTTTTTAGAGTTTCGGACCTCAGCGGAGTCTCTTTAACGTATAAAAAAAGAATATAAATCAACATGGCAAAAGCAATTCTGTTTGTACTACTTACTGTTGTCGTCAATAGACGCTGCTTTACACTGTTCGAGTTTAATTTTCCATATGTTATAGAATCTAAAACAAAGATCACAGATGATAACACAACAACATTTATGATTTAACCATTATATACATTACTGACATTTGATTGAAATAAGATAAAAAATAAGTTATATGGAATACGTATAATTTTTATGATGATGTTTATTGCATTTTTACAAACTTGTGAATTGGCAATACAAACTAGTTGGGAAAGAAGACATTTGTAGTAAGCATTGATAATATTACAGTTGAAAACAACTTTGTTACTGACATATTCACCAAGCATATCTTGCATTTAAATTTTATTAAAGATATGGAAAGCACGTTAGGGGATTCATAAAAAATATCATCAAATTATGGAGCAGAAATGAATGTTTTAATTATATTTCATTTTTGAGCTTTTATGTTATAAATTAGTATCTTTGCAAAGTATGAAGTACTTTTACAAGGGCACTAAGGTCTTTCTCCACCACAAAAGCTGAAAAGTCGTCCTAAGACATTCGTTTTATGTACTTGTTCGGAACCAAAAATAAGACCAAAGCTCGCTTTTTAAAGATATTGTTTGACTTTTTCGGACAATTTTTAACTTGAATAATTAAAGCTTTTACCTTTCGGCACATCTCTTTTCTTTTGTATTTCTAGAACTGATTGTGCTACCACGAATATTACGGAGTATGCTATCATCACGTCCTTGGCATACTCATCCACTTTCGCTTTACTAAGATTAATACCAAAGAATATTGTGACAACTGAAAAATATTTAGAAAACGTATCTAATAAAAGCTTTGTTGTTGTTGTTGTTGTTTTGTAATGACGTGTAAAATTATATCACTTAGCATTTCTTATCAGTATTGTTTTATGGTTTTGGTCAAACAGGATCAATTATTTACAATAAATGCAAAAGACAGTTCTATAAGCGTGAGAGGTGGTGCTCTTTTTCGTAACTTTCACTTTTCATAAATATGCTTGATAAAAAACCATATGTTCATAAATCTATTTTATTCTTGTTCTCGTTGCACTCGAGAGATTTTTTGTTTGTGTGTTTGTTTGTTTGTTTGTTTGTTTGTTTGTTTGTATTATTAACATGGACACATAATCCAATTTGACACATACTGGCAGACAATTTCATTTCGGATTTAATGAAAAAGAATATCATTTGTCCGTAAGACGTTTATCAATATTCTACTCTAAAAATTATGGTTTCTGATTAAATATACAATCATTTTAAATGGTAATGAATAACTCTTAACAAAATGATATACAAAAACATTGTTTGACTAATTTATTGTGTAATATTTGCTTAAGAGTCAACTGGTCACTAATGTATCATAAATTGCTATATTTTGTTCCTAATTACAATTTAGTAACTTTGATATTTTTACATGTCATAATACTTCTATTGTATTATGACGTTGTTGCATTTGTTTATTTAGGTCTGAAGATTGTAAACGTTATTTTTGTTTAAGAAGAGAGACATGTTATTATGTTTTGTCCTTAATAAAGTCTTTAAATCTCTAGAAAAAAATCTTCTCTATTACACGTGTCAAGATTTTACTTTCGTAGTTTAATGTAAAGGATTATTTTCTGTTTTCTTCAGTTTTTACAATACTGCCATTTGTATGTTATTAAATAGACTATCTGAAAGAAACCATTATTCAAAAATGAAACAATATAAATCAACAAAGAGTATTCAGACATTGAAAATAATTTTCATTATTTTTCCGATCTTAAAGCCTTAGAAATGAAACTAATTAATTATTTTCAAATTGAAACAACGCTTTAGAAACGGCTTTGTAACTAGTATCTTTAAGCACATGAAAAGTTTTGTAACGGTTTTGTTAATGACAAATTATAGTTCATTGTTATAAATCAATTTATTTGTTCTGTTGAACAAAAGTAATATCTACACGCAAATGATATCGTTTTGATAGTCGTCGTTCCAGTTTTTTTAATGTCTTTGCGTGCCTGTAGATTATGATTCAAGTTCTTAGATAAAATAGAAGCACTATTAATGAACGCCAAACATAGAAAGGTTAAGAAAATAGGTCCACTATGAAAGAACGCGAGACATATATGAGTTGAAAATGTTGCAGACTCAGTTAAAGTCCTGCATGACAAGAAATGATGTCTTCTTCTTAACCATATACTAACATTAAAACTTATCATTTTGATGACACGTTGCATGACAAGAAATGATGTATTCTTCTTAACCTTATACTAACATTAAAACTTATCATTTTGATGACACGTTGCATGACAAGAAATGATGTATTCTTCTTAACTATATACTAACATTTAAACTTATCATTTTGATGACACGTTGCATGACAAGAAATGATGTATTCTTCTTAACCATATACTAACATTTAAACTTATCATTTTGATGACACGTTGCATGACAAGAAATGATGTATTCTTCTTAACCATATACTAACATTTAAACTTATCATTTTGATGACACGTTGCATGACAAGAAATGATGTATTCTTCTTAACCATATTATAAACTTATCATTTTGATGACACGTTTGTATGAGCATGTGTGTTATAATTATTAACATAACATACGCGTATGTATGTAGGGAGGTAGGTAGGTAGGAAGGTACGTACGTACGTACGCAGGTAGACGAAACACACCACCTCAACGGATCAAACTATGACTAAAAACTTTGAATATATAAGGGATACAAATAAATATGGAGGTCCCTACAATGGTGAAACGATATTCATCCCTTGTTATATAATTTAAGATTATTTGCTCGTATGTATGTACATGAATGCGTTGACAATATATTGTCACCTATTAATGAATTTCATCCTCAATTGACTAATTGTACAAATACGACATAGTCTTTGTACCGGGTGTCACCTATTAATGAATTTCATCCTCAATTGACTAATTGTACAAATACGACATATATATATAGTCTTTGTACCGGGCTTTCTCAAAGATAACTTTGATATAAAATTATTCAAACTTTCTTCTTTAGATATCAGAAATGTTAGATTTCTTAACTAATTCGCCTCTGTTTTCAAAAGGTTTCCATATATTTACCTGCAATTATATGCGCTGCTGTTCCGACGCTAAAATGTGCCCAGTTAAAAATAGGTCTATGTTGATGGTCGACCGGCGGACGAAATAGTGCCATAATCGGCTGAAATTAAATAATAATAAGATATTTGGGACGCATAACACTACAAAGTTATCTAAACAAGTCAATTTCCGGAACACCTCATCGAATTAAAATGAAAATATTGAATTTGATTAAATATTCAAAAATTGTATCATAATACATGTAAAATGATGCCCTGCAAGCAAACATACATATCCATCACGACCTCCCCTATTTGGCTATTTTTCGTCTATCTGTACCCACACTCCACCATGGTGGATTGGGCAGTGTTACTCTTGACATATACACACCAGGTCAACGGTTTTAAGTCCCAATGAATCATATGTTTTACAAAGTGAATCAGCGATTGAATTAGCGAAAGGACAACCTTGTATCGTACCTTGTAATATTTCTTTCATACTGTTACTTACATTTAAAAGAGTAAGGCATGTGACAATTATCCCTAGGTATGGATGGGCTTTTGTATATTCTTTACCAGGATCAGCTGATATCTGTAAATACATCATAAATGTTGTATTATTCATTGAAGTTCAAAGCCTAACAGATAAAAACACTTATGATGAGCATCTATACTCTTTACCAGGCTAATAATTCTTTTCCTAATAACTAAACTGTAATTACCAGTTTCTCTACAAATGAGCAACAATTAAACCTACATTATTTCTGAATCAGCCGTCGGAGACAAATAAGCATTTGTCTCAATGTCCGAGAAATATTATCACAGAGAAAATTTTGCCTCGCACCAGCATCCTCCGGATTACAAATTCGATATTGCATTCTCAGAGCAGTGTTAAATTTATTTAGAAAGTTTGTGTTGATCCTAGATATAATAACACTTGAGTGATCTCCATTATACAATAATAATTGTGCCGAAGTTTCAACGAGAATAAGTGTGACAATGTGACATATGATTGTGCTTAACATAAAATAAACGCTAAATCTTACTTGGCTGAATCCACCAATCTCGTAAAATATAGCAACGAATGCAATAATCACACACAGAAGTACAACAAACATTAAAGTTCTATGAATCTGAAAAAGAAAAAAATGTTCCAATCATACACGTAACTGAACGCCTTTTATATCTTAGATACACATTAAAACAGGCTCTGAAAATTCAAATAAACTAGAGTTGTAAAAGAACACATACACGTAACTGAACGCCTTATATATTTTAGATACATCTTAAAACAAGCATCTATGTTGTCTCTAAAGAATACAAAATAAACACTGTATCAATTTATATGCATATAATAGTGTTTCAGGTAAGTTGCAAGTATGATGAATATTGGAATAAATAATTAAGCTTCTGTAACTGTTTCGTATTGCACTGTAGCGTACAATATCCCTCATGAACAAATTCAATGAAACCGAATCTTCATATCATATTGTTATTTTCATTGCTTTCGCTTACAGGGGATCTCCTCTTTTTACAGAATTTCAAGAAGATTTTGAACATAAGAGATGTCAGATTTTGGGCTGAATGAAAATATTCTTTGCTAACAAAAATCAATTTGAGACACAAAGAAATGACTGAACTAGCTTACGAAAAGCCCTTTAGATACGTACACCAACTGGAAAGTATGTTAAATAATTTGTACCCAACACATATTGTGAAAATATATTCTATACTTACAGCAAACCAGTATCGTACGTTACACATCATTTTACCATGGGCCATAGATTTGAAATGTCTGGCTATCACAACCCCAATGCTCGAGCACAGCACCCATGCAACGACCATAAGAGATCCTGTATGTAAATACACATATTTTCAAATGAAATGAAATAAACAAATGTAAAAAGGACATAAAAACTTCTTAATCCTCATTATGCTTAACATCTTATGCAAATCCTTGAGTACATATCTTAATCAATGAAATTTATTTTATCTATGAAATTCTTACTGACTTTGTCTAATTTAATTTTATTTTAATGAATAAAATGTGTGGGAAGCTTCGTTCCCTATTACATCAAGTGCAGTTTGTATCTTTCTTTAAAAAATGCCATTTTTAAAGACAAAATATATACTCATATTGTGACCACCTATAGTGTGTAGAATTCTAAACATAACATATCTACTTTTTGAGCAGTCAAAACATATTTATTCTATATTTTCAAAGAGACTGTGTAGCAATTATCAATATTTTCTTATATCAATTTTGAGCATAGTATATCTTTTAATTATCATTAATGGACTTCACTGAGCTTGTTTTCAAGTTATTTGCCCATGATTTGTTCTCCTTTTTTGTAGCTGACACCCTTTTGAATGATTGTTCAATTTTTTAAGTAAAGTTGTCTTTGGTTTTTGGATTCAACAGCAGATAATTCGAAAAGGTTCTCTTTTCGGTTTTTCTATCATCAGGTAAAAATCCTAGATGTTTAAATATCCCTGAAATAGAAATAAAATAATTTTAGAGAATTACTTTTAGAAAAGATTGAAACATAATTCACAAACCGTGCAGTTTGATAAGAGGTGATGCCGAATCAGATTCTTTTGAAACTTTGTGGGACAGGAAGTCGACTTTTCCAGAGCTTCTTACTGGAATTTTTGTGTGTTGTTGTTTAATACCTGAAATGAGATGTAAACATTTCATCATATATTTTCGGTTAATCTATTTCTGTCTTATTAACCTTTATCACAATATTTTATTTGGTGCTTTTTAACTTGTTTTTTATTGAAGGCAAACATAATTTTGATTTTGCTTAAACTTTGCATGCACGTGTCTTTTAATGCATATATCTAATCTTTGTTGTCAATTATGTGGTCATACCTTAAGTATCAATTTAAAACTTCATAGGTGGATAGTTCTTAATGAGGAGTGCAATACGACGTATGTATGATTCATATTTCTATCAATATTTGTTTTCATTCTAATGTTTGGACAGAGGACGATAACTCAAAAAGTACAAAAGGTATCATTTTGAAACTTAATACGTAGTAACATATTCTTAAGGAGAATTGCACTGTACAATGATGATAATTCTACCTTTCACTGCTTTAAGGAGTAAATATTGCCCTTTCTTATTCGTCATGCTTAATTTTTGTTCGAAGCATGTCTCGATAACTACAATTACATATATTTAGTTATTGCTCTTTGGTTTAAACAATAATTATTTCTTCTTCAATATTTACAAACATAATTACAATTCATAAATTACATCCAGGATGATACTCTCTCCTGAGTTATTGCTCTTTGTTAGTTGCATGCTTAATGTTTGTGTTGGACATAATTTAACAGGTGTGTGGATTATTAACTTCAATTTTTTTTAACTAGACAGATCTTAATGAGTAGGAGCGATCGACAAGTATAATAGCTCTTCACTTCTTTATTTTTAAGTTAATGCTCTTAATGTCTTTTCTTTCATATTATTTTCCGGTCCATAATACATAAAGCTTTAAAGATGTAACATGTAAACGTCATCCATTTGGAAGATTGATCACAGTAAGATGAAATGCAGTCGAGTTATTGCCATTTATTTTATTGCATTGTTTTTGTGTTTTGTTTTTTTAATTTGCACAGATTATAACTTAAAAAATTTAAAAAGATATCAGCATGAAACTTCATTGGTGAATAGGTCTTAAATACCAGCTTTGTGAACTTTTTGTTTTATTGTTCTTTGATTTTTGTTTTATCTGTCAGTCAGTGCGTGCAATTTGCGCTATCCTCTTTTTATAATTTTTCTCTTAACTTGCGGGGGGAATTGAAATTATGCGAATGCGTCATGATATGTAATGTACTTTCTGAGAAGATATACATTAATATCTTTAAAAAAAAACTGAAAATTGAAAGTAAGGGATCAGCTGGCCCATGCCATTTGCATGCAATCCAATAGATGATTGATAATGCCACATCAGTTGATATAAAAGCAAAAACAGAGCAATATTTTACAAATCTTCCTAAAACGTATGACCAAATGCGTCAAAAATGATTGTCTTAATATATTGATTTCACTGCAGCTGACAAATTCTAATGTCACCATTCTCATTGGCCAAGCCTTCTTATGTGACTTTGGTACGGTCATAAAGTACACTTATATTCCCCCCCCCCCCCCCCCCCCCCCGCTATTGTTTCGTAAAAAAATTGCGGTAAATGATAGAAAAAGTAAGAAATGATGGAATAAGATTGAATTCGAGGTATGAAAAATGGCATAGATGTCTTGCAAGGTTTACAATTTGTCGGTATGCATTCAGGGAAATAGTATGATTTTATAAAATGACGTCATCGATATATCAACCAATCAAAAGTACCGTTTACAACTGGTCCATGTCCAACAAGAAGATATGCTTCGTCCTTCAGATTCATGAAATCAGTAACATTCATCGACATTTTTCGCGTGAACGAACATTCTATTTTCTTGCCTTTGACTGATCCTTGCATATTTGATAGGCCTAACGTTTTCTGAAAGTAAGTAGATGTACATATGAGAACAAAGACCAACACAATACAGGAGACAGAACACTTTGGAACACCTTAGAGTGCAGAAAAAATACGCAAGTACCTTACGATGAAAATATCTTTTTTATCTTTAATCTGCTCCATTTCTTAAATGGATTTGAAATGCTTCTATTTTTGGAGTCTGTAATCCACCAGTATAGTTCCTGGTAAGATAACACAGATGCAAAGGCTGGATTGGCACTATACTAATGACAAAAGCCAATCATGTTCCTTTCCAACATACTATTGGTTAAAGATATTCGCAACAAGTTGCAGAGGTACTTTATACATGCTAACTTTAGTTAGTTTGTGTTAATCATCATCATTTATCTGAAGTTTAATCAGTAACAAAACATGTTCAACGTAAAAAGGGAACTTTACATAGAAACTTAATAGAAAGAAAATTAATTGATAAGAAAATGAATTATAGAAACAACATAAAGAGAAATAATTAAATTGAAAATAATTATACAAAACTTAAGGATGGAGAAATCATAGCAAGAAAAGGAATATATAGGGATATTTAAGTGATAAAGAAATATATGATATATTAAAAGTTACTGAGATACTCAAATATGAATTTGACAAAGATACTTATTATCTACACACTACCCTATGATTCAGAAATAAAGTTGATTTTCATTAATAAAACTTATTAAAAGCTGCGTGTTCTAAAATTATTTATCAACATACCAACATATCTAAGATCATCAGGTACCTCTATATTAACGGATATTGTTGGCCTTAACAAACTTTATAGGTATATAACACCAGTATGCTGACTTGAGATGATTGAGATGCATTGTAGTATATAATCAATTAGAAATATATTATGATTCGATTGCTCGCATGTAAAACGAAAAAGGCAACTATTATAATACAGCGTGATCTTTTACATGAAGGAGCAAGCTACACCAGGTACCAATTGAAAGATGGACATAAAGAAAAAACACTTCTCTCTTTTATGTTTCCTACGTAGCATTATTGTGCATAATTGTAATATCAGTTCTTCTTATTAATAATATGTTACTTTGACTACTCTGATATTTTTACATTCCATTGTCAGTACATGTATGAATGTTAGTACCGAAATAATAGATATAATTATTCAACGAGAACAAGAAAATAGACAATAAAACCTTGCTGTACATAACGTTTGTATAACCCTCATTGTGTGAGGACTCGACGCTAACATTGTTTCTTCCTGTAAGACACGCAATAACATTGGTGTCATCCTGAAAAAAAAGATGTTTAAACTAATTAAATTTCAAGGTGACATTGTTAGACTCATATATTGTCATTTTTAATGAAAATTAAAAAGAAAATAATGTAAGAAGGAAATGGTTTTGATAAAGTGTTTCTACTTATGTTGTGGTAATAATTAGATACGTTTATTTTTCTTTCGAAAAGGTGGATTTTGAATGATTACTTTATTTTTATCTCCAAGGCAATACCACAAATGCCCTATATAATCTGTAATATAACACATCTTTTATAACAGTCCTTAAAACTTATTCAATCAAATTATTTATATTCAAATCTATAAGATTTACAAAAATGTAGTTTGAAGAACTAATAATAAGTTAATATCATTAAAAAAACAAAAATGTTCAATAGAACTACAATCTCATTTTAAAACTAATACAAAAGGCAGTTAACCATTTTGCCAGTCGGTGAAAACCCTATTGCAATCCAAACATTGTCTGTTTCCTCCAACACCATTTTAAACTCAAAATGTACCCCATCAGTATCAGCAGCAGCATTGTTGATATTGTCCATACTGTTAGAATCTACCTGCCACGTGACGAGATATTCACAGCCGTTGGAGCAGTCTGGGAAACAGCCTTTGCTTACTCCACATTCAGGATCATTTGGTATATTATTCTGTGGAGCCTTGCAAAGGATCAAAGATATAAAAAGGTGAATGGATAGTCCTCAAGGTACCAGTAAATAAAAACGATAACATTGTAAACATTTTCAATAAGAAATATAAAATTGGAATCCCCAAAGAACGCCAAAAAATGATAAAATATACAAATTTAAAATGTTGCAGGCTCGGTTTGATTGAATCTGTTCATGGACGATACTGGAAGGTGCAAATTATCGACCACACGCCCTAACACAGGCTTTAGCATAATTCAACATTTAATCATGGTAATGGTAAACAAATTTGAATTTAGAAACATTCCCAGATAAAAACATTAAACAGCTTTGTAGAAAGAAACTGTTTAGCTTGACAAGGCGTGTTATTGTCATGTGACCTAGTGAAATTACTTCATGTAGCAAGCTTTCCAGGTCTTGTTCAGAATACAGATGTACTTCCGTTTAGAATCAATGAAAGTGTTCAATAAGAAAACTTCTGCGGAATGCTTTCTGAAGATGGGAGATATAACAAATGTCTCCAAAAAGACTTAATAAATAATAAATAATCCTATTCAAGTATGACATTTCTTAAATTAAATGTTTATGTTATGTTCTAAAATACAGTTATAAATATAAAACATTTTGTGATGATGTTGGGATATGTGGATATGTTTTTTTTTAAAAATACATTTTGAATGAGTAAAAAGGTATAAAATGGTAAAGTTTACACCAAAATTGACTTCAGATAAGATTGTGTGCCTTGAACCTTCTTTTGTTGCGCTTTATATCAATAATCATTTATTATAAAATAATTTGAAGATAAGATTACATTTTAAGTGTCTGAAAAAGCAATCACTTATCTAACGTTAAACGAAATGTTAATTTTATCATGACAATCGCTTTAGTAACAACCGTCAATTTTAGATTCTTCTGTTATAAGTATAACAACACTGTTTTATACAAGTATGAGCTTCAAACAAAATGCCATAATAGATTAGACGTATGCCGGGTCGGTAAGTCAATTACGTACTGCAAAATAGAGAAAAACAGAATCCCTTAAGAAAGCCAAACAAGGCAATATTGAAAATGTTGCAGTCTCGGTTTGTCTGTTCATGGACGATACTGGAAATACTGTACTGTCGATATGAAAATAAACCATCTGGGTAACTAACAAATGTCATTGTGAGCTCTAATTCGTCTTCATTGTACATCAAATTTCTCACATTGGGCAAGATTGTAAAGAGAAAAATTTTTGGCTAGAAACGTGGCGGTAAAACAACATATTGTCTTGAACTTAAAGACATATTTACCGGGCTGGTGGTAAGTGGTTGTACTGTAGTTATGTTAGCATTTCTCGACAGGATATTAACTTTTCCAGGGCTTCTGATTGGTATTTTTGTGTGCTGGTATTTAATACCTGAAATGAGATGCAAATTCTGTTCAATATTGATAATGTAGAAACATTTCAACGGACGAAAGTTTAAGGACACAGTGCACAAAGAAAACGTTGGTCATGCATGACTGTGTTTATGTCAGTCGGACGCATTTCATCCTCATGATAACTTCGTGTGATAAGTACATTGAATAAAATCCACTGTTAACTTCAACACAGATACCTGCTACATAAATTACAAACATTGATTGCAATTGAATATACCAATGTATTTAACTGACAACATTACGCATATGCATCTAATTACGAACGCAGCTGTGTTATGCTTACCTGTATGCTATTCAGTAGCTAATTGATATTGTTATACCTCCCATGTTAAATCTACACGTGATTTGTCTAATATTTTGTCTTGCAAGGTCATGCATTAAGGAAACCGTATGATTTCTAAAAAATAACATAATTGATGACAATTAACAATAAAAATTACCTTTTACAACTGGTCCATGTCCAACAAGAAGATACACCTCGTTCTTTAGATTCAAGAAATCAGATACATTCATTGCAATGTGTCGCGTAAACGAACATTCTATTAAATTTCCATGAACTGAACCTGACATAGCTAATAGGCCTAACGTTTTCTGAAAGAAGAAATGCATTTTAGTAAAAAAGCAATCAAAGTAGATAAATTGAAAATGATGCTGATTGCCGACAAAGCCTGAATACTTTAATACCTACAACACTCTCTTATGTTAGTAAGAAAATATAATATTCTGTTACATAATCGAAAAATAAATATAATGATTTTGTCACATTCCCAACGTTCTATAGCTAATGCAATGGCTTTTGACGGTCATGTTTTGATAACGAAACTCCAGGGCCGTCATTACTGTAAGCTTACTCTACAAGGGGCCCTAAGTCACGCATATTAAAAATGGAAATCAGCGGCTCCTTTTCATGTGACTTTATCCATTTGTATGCGTTAACAGTTTTCATTCAGGAATTCATGTTATTCATATTGATCTGTTACTTTGAATTCTGAGACATCTACATTTAATTGTCATTTCAAGTATGATGATATTTCAGAAGAAATGAACATGAATATATCTATTTCAAATTTCATACCGTGCTGTACATAACGTTTTTATAACCCTTATTGTGTGACGACTCGACGCTTACAGTGTTTCTTCCTGTTAGACACGCAATAACATTGGTACCATCCTGCAATAGATGTTTCAGCATGTGAGGTTATTAAACGTTTATATTTTCATTTTTTAACAAAATATCTATTAAATAGAAATATATCAAGGAAATGGTTCACAAAAGATTCGCCTTCTGAATATGTGATATTAACTAATATAACATCTAACCGATTTCAAAGCTAAATTTTCAAAAAGAACGTTATTCTACTTTAAAAAATAATACAAGAAATTAACCATTATGCCAGTCGGTGCAATAAATAAAATAGAAATATAAATCTAAATAGAAATATATCCAGGAAATGGTTCACAAAAGAATCACCTTCTGAATATGTGATATTAACTAATATAACATCCAACCGTTTTCATAAGCTTAATTTTCAAAAAAAACGTTTATCTACTTTAAAAAATAATACAAGCAATTAACCATTAGGCCAGTTGGTGAAAGCCCTACTGCAATCCACACATTGTCTGTTTCCTCCAATACCATTCTAAGCTCAAAGTGTACCCACTCAGCATAATAATCATCTTCATCATCATCCCCAGCAGCAGCAGCATGTGTGTCATTACTTTTAAAAACAGTATGCCACGTGACGAGATATTCACAGCCGTTGGAGCAATCTGGGAAGCAGCCTTTGCTTACTCCACACTCAGGATCATTTGGTATATTATTCCGTGGAACCTTGTAAAGGGAAAGAAACACGAGAAGGTGAATAAACCTCAAGAAAACAGTTCAAGTTCAAAGGATAAAATTCTAACGATGACATTCTTAAATGATGTACTTCAAAAATCCAAGTGAAATGCAACCAAAATTTTTGCAGAAAAAAATATTTTATTAATTTTGGTTTTTTCTTTATTATTTCATGATAATAGTTTACGAACCTCTTTTAATAGACCTCGTAGATTTATATAGCAGTTGTCAAGGTAATTAGTAGGTGTCTTAATATTGACGATATTGTGAAAATTTCAGAGACAGCAAATGTAAGAAAATACTTCTATTTGAAATCAACGTGCATGAAAGTGTCTAGTGAGCAGATTTTCATGTAACGCTTAAGCCTTTCTGAAGCTTGAAGATATTGATATTACGTCTTACCTAAGCGATACACTTACAAAAAGACTCAATTAATCGTCACTTAAAGGGAGACACAGGCAAAATTTTCATTTTCTTAGTTTTGAATTTTTCATTCATTATTCTGTAAATGCGCTCAAAATAAATATATTAGGCAGTCAAAGGAACAACACTTTTCTCCATATAAAGAATAAAATGGTGGTTTCCTAACTTGACCCGCGTGGGTCAGGTTAGAGCGCTAGCATTTCACAATAGTTGTCAAAGTGAACTCTGGAAACGTTAAAGGACATGTCAAATGAATAACTTAGGCTTGTTTCAATCGTACAATATCCACAATATTTGTAATTGTAACTTCAAGGGCTTGTTTAAGTCATCTGACTTGTTTTAAAACTATTTGGTGATTTTATTGGCGTCTAAATTTTGTTCAGCATATATAAATATATTTACGCTTCAAACCCAAAATATATAGAATTTAAACAGAAATTCATGCTGAAACTTCATGAAAAGTTATTTTAGAGTGATTTGAGTACATAAGATCATTTTAATATTTTTGTCATTGTTTTGCCTGAATATCCCTTTAAGTGCAGTAACAGGTTTACTCCATATAATTTAATTGTAGTTAACCCGTTACTGCGATAAGAAAAAGAAATCTGATTTATATTTTGTGTTCCAATATAAAAGAACAGATATTTTTAACATTTTGTTGATGATGTTAGTGTTTGGTCATAAAGATTTTGAAAGTCTAAAGGCTAGGTGGTATATAAATTAAGTCAATGTCAAATTTTGAATGAGTGTAAAGTTAAAAAAAAAGTAAAATGTGCAATGAAATTGGCTAGAGACAAGGTTTTCAAGATCACTCCCTTTTGTTGTACTATATTTTAATAACAAGCAAATTTAAAATGAAATATAAATATAGTATTTTATGTGTCTGTAAAACATTTATAAATTTAACATTTGAAAGAACATAAAAAACCTGCCGACGTTTATGCAACAGCTAGGTGCAAGTGCCTTTTTATGTAACGATTCAAAACTTTGCATATATAGACAAATATACTTTCAATTACAATGGCACACGTGACTGATCTTGGTCGGTTATTACGCAGTGCTCGAGTACTGAGGCTGGCTGTAGTAGTTGAATAACGTTCCTGAAGGGTGAATATTTAATTATATTTGTGACTTTTCATTCGTCATCATCTGACGTTAAAAATAAAAATAAATGCTGGAAGTTGGAAAACAATCGTCGTGTAATAAACAGGACAGAAGTCAATATCTACTTGTACTTAGTAAATTAGACATATTTACCGTTGACGGTAATGGTATGGCTGGTGAAGTTGATGCTGGTGTCGAAATTGTTTCATCAGAGGTTGTCTCTGGTCCCGGGCTGATGGTGGCTGGCTGTTCTGTGGGTATATCGGCACATTCATTTGACGGGTGTAAACTACAGTCTTTAACAACGGATGAATATATACCTAACCAGAAACGACTTACATTATATGACTCTACAATCGTCAACCTATAAAACAAAGCATATGCATTGGAAGGGATTAAGAATGCACTACCAATACAATACTATAAACAAATGGAGGGTAAAAGCAAAGTGTAGGCAAAAAATAATCAACAATGTGCCTTCTTGTTATTTTTGTACAAGCATGTTTTATGCACTTTGTTTTCCTTTAAAATGCATTGATGTAAAATTATATAAACCGTCTATGTACTCATTCATACCATGCACAATTATATTGTTACGTGTGCATTTTGTATTAACAGTTACTGGTTGTATAATACTAGGACGTTACATAAGCACGCAAACCGCAATTGTTACATAAACAAGTTTTATAATAAAGCAAAAACGTTTAATAAAATCCGCCTTTGCGTATACACGTGCAAAACTTGTTATTCTTTAGAAGTTGTTTAAAGTTTTAAGTAGCATCAACAACTTGAATAATACATGGCTATTTAGCATTACAACTTAAAGGGGGCCTCAGATAACTAATAGTAAATAAGAGCATTTACAAATTAAGATACCTGCGTCGAATTATCGACCTTTTTCATTAACCAAATGTAAGGCTTCACGTAAAAGAATCTAAAGTCCATTGAGATGTTCTACATTTTAAATGACGATACGCACTCACAAGTAACATTTGTCTTTAAACTCTAGGCTCCATGTTCACAAATATTTAAGAATCAGGATCAAGATCAGGATCAAATTTAAACACTCAGATATCACCGTTTTTATCCAAGTAGATTAAATATTTAATATTAACTTAATGATGGACTTAAAATAGCATGTTCGTGAAATTTTTAGAATAAAATTAATGTTATTTTGCATGATATGGGCATTTTACAGTTGATCCAAATATTGATCTTAAAAAAATGATCATTAATTTTGATATGATGTTTTTCGTATTAGTTTTGTTATTGGTCGATTTTATCACAAAATAGTTGCTTCTTTGTAGATTATTTTACATTTTGAATATGCACCATCTAATTCTAGCAAAATACGATCAATTCTTGTTATATAAAATAACGAAAATAAAATCAGGATCAGACTAGTCCTCATCCAATGTAATGATTTTATGTTTTATATTATTGGGCGGCGACCGTCGGGATCTAAACTCCAAGTGTCTGTGATCCTGAACTTTTCTTAAATGAATCTGATCAGGAAATATAAAAAAAAAAGTTTCATACTTGAAATGCAGATCGCCCTGAAAGGTCATTGGTGCTTTCCATGTGAAGTCTATTTCTGTTTTATTGCTGTTTGATGTATGTGTCAATCCTTGTTTATTGGCCTGAAAAATATAAACAGATATTAAAATTGTCATTAAATTAAGAAGAAAGAGACATACAAATGATATTTAATATATTGCATCGAACTTGTCAGATCATATTAAGAAGATATTCGTTATTTTGAAATTGCTATTACAACACTATAAACGCACTTAAGTTAGTGGAATTTTTTTCGTCTCATGTATTGCCCATTGTGTTAGAGCTTGTTGTTAACATTATAACTCTTGATTTTTTATAAACCCTTACCCCGTTGAATTTGTGTCACGTATATGCCCTACTTTGATCCTTAAGTTTAAGGGATTTCAATATAAGCTTTAAAACAAGAATTGATCTGCCTACAGTTTTGTTTGCTTGTTTGTTTCATTTTACGCCTTTTCCCAACAGTATTTCAGTCATATAGGCGGGTAGTTTCCTAACCATCGTTCCTGGAGAGTATAGAGTTTGTTGGACTAGTAGTGACTATATGGCAAAGTAAAGTGTTTCACTTTAGGTTTTAACATATTAAAGGTCAAAATATAGTGATCTTCAAGTGATTGACAAGCTGTTCAATGATAACTTATTTGAATCTAGAGAAAGTAGACATGATTGTATATTGGAACCAAATGCTGTCCGTTGGACTCGAACACACAAACGATCCGAACTCACATTGAAATTGATATAACACGTGATCAACATGTTTTTGCAGATACTTTTGCAATCATTTCTTTGGTTGTTTGTTAACTTGTTTCAAATGACATCGTCTTATTATACTTACATTACCACAGTTCGTGTGCGTGTCTGATCCTGACACTATGAACTCCCCAAATGGTGTCATTTCAGAGTTATCCGCCTTTCTAGCTTGTATCAAGAATCCGCGAAATAGAAAGCCCTTTGGTGAGTATATTGTTCCTAAAATATTTTATTTAGAATTAACCAGTTAAACGGATTTTAAAACGTGATATGGTCGGAAATGATTTTCAAAACAAGCTCTTAAACAATTCAAAATACTGTTTCCACTCAAAAAAGGCAACGAAACAACCATTTGTTTGCTATTTTATTACCTTAACATTTCATATATCTGAATGTATGCATTATATCTAATAAATGAGCTCATGGAACATGCCTTGAAATAAATTATATGTATTATAAGTAGTATGGAACGAAATATGACAGTTGCTCTAAAAACTATTTTACGTTTTAACTTTTTTCAGCGCTAGCATCGATGGCAGACAAAGCTATACAATCAGTACTGGATACTCTACATATTCGTACAATTTGACACGGCCCTGTACCGTTGGCCTTTTGATGTCGATGTTGATATACCTACAATTTCTATTAAACTATTCTTAAACCACAACTGAAAATATCGATTAAATGAAATTAAAAAGCAAAATGAGGATCAATAGATAAGAACATAAGCTAAAAGTGTATACCTTTGATTTCAGATCCAGGTTTGTAAACAGTTTCTGTGAGATTAATGGCAAAGGGTGGTGTTCCTGACGTAGTCGTTGGAGGGTGATATGGCCTCATTTCCTGACATGCTACAAGTGGGGCGCCCGTGGGGTAGGATGAACAATGGTGGAGGATACATAACAAAGCGTATATAATTATTGTGGAGAGATGCACTGATTTCTGTGAAAGATAGAAATATATGTATGAAACATCATTTTCCCTGTGTATTTAGGTGACAATTTACTGATTTTGTTGTTGTTTTTTTGGTGAGTTTTTTGTGTTTATTGACGTGGAGGGTGTCAGTCACAAAATTTTGAAAGATGACAATGTCTTTTACGTTATTGTAGGTAATTTTTTAATGTAGGTATTTTAAGTCAGAGAGTGTAGTAAATGTTATAACTGGACCTTATTTTATTGTTGGGAACTAATGTTTTTATTAGGTTTTTATAAGGTTTTTTTTTGTTATAACATCAGACTAGTGAATTGCATTATATATAGACATTTAGACACATAAGTAGAATATGAAAGCTTAGATAAAATGATAGATTCACAAGATTCCGCATACATTTAATGTAATGTGTTTAGTCTATATTATCATATAAGCAAGAAAATCTGATTTTTATTATATTTACCTACGTAAGCTTTGCTTACACGTCCCATATAATTCTGTATTGAATGGCATATGTACTTTAATCAGTTTTATTCATTTTGGTAGGTTGTACATGTGATGAGACGAAAATAAACTATTTGAACTGAATTGAATATATAGTTTTATATACCATATCACATCGAGAAAATTTTATCATTATTAATTATTTGCGTCTTCTAGATATCTGTAAAAATATTAACAAAGGATGGACAAACGGGTAGACCACATCAAATGACGCAGGTTATGACTGTAGTCAAAGTTCGATATTTGAATGGCTTTGAAAGAACTCTGGTGTCTAAAACAATATTCATTATCTGCGTAATGTTCTATATATAAGAAATGACAAGTCTAATAGAAATTCAACGAGGTAATACGTTGTGTTTTTGTTTAAAGTTTACGTTTTTCATTACAGTTAAAAATTTTGACTTATTGAAAAGTAAAAAGTTTCAAGATTCAAGTAATATTCTACATATTATGTGCGATTAATGACTGATTCTTTAGTATTTACAATTAAATTTCTATATTTCTACTGCGTTACTAACGTAGTAAAGGCTATTTATGCATACCTTGACCACATTTTGGTAATTTACGTGATTTGTAAGTGCCATTGATTGATAATGTGTAAATTGCTTTTTTCTGGTTGCTTCACAATATTACACATTCAAATATATTTCAATTTTTTTATGAAAATTAGCATGAATCTGGAGGCGTGCTGCTTTAACTCTGCATATGAATTTTTTTTGCTTGAAGATATTTCTTAATGTTATATTTTTTACTATCAAAATGCACAACAGAAAAAAAACGCGCATGATTTCTTACATTAAAATGTATTTGCGTTCCCAAAAACAGGTCAGTAAAGTTGATCCTTTCTTTAAAAAATATCTGCCAGTATTTAGTGACACTATATTTATATTGTGACCACCTATAGTATGGAGTTTTAAACATAAAATATCAACTTCGTGTTAAGTCCAAATATGTTTATTTTATATTGACAAAGAGACTGTGTAAAAATTTATCAATATTTCTAATATCAAATTTGAGCATAGTATATCTTTAAGTATATGAAAATGTCTGCGAAATGATTTTGTTTTGTTGAAAAATCATCATAATTTGTCATATTTTTACAGTATGTAGCATATATAGTAATTTTCATTGTTTTGTCTTATTTTACCTTAAATGATGAAGACATGGGTTAATCATAAAAAGTAATTTGATCAATTATTAATCGATCTATATTTTCGATTAATGTTTCTCTCATTATTTCAGTCATAATTTAATCATAACATTACATCATGTTAATATGTTATGTTATATTTTCTTAATAAAGCTTAAAAGTTCTTTAACTACAGGTTATCATGCTAATATATTATGATATATTTCCTGAAAAAATATCAAAGAATAAATAGTACTGATTAAATAAAAGAAAGAAAAAAACATAGTTACCATCTTTGGAAGTTATGGACTGTGTAGCCGTTTAACTATAAAATCTTTCTATCACACAGCCTATGTATCACTTTATAATTCCATTAAGTCCTACACGAATTTTAACACAATTGTGTAATGTGAATCACGTGCTGCTGTGAACAAACTCGTGTGTTCTAAATCCTGTACCGATAATTACGACGTTTATTACTATTGATGATAATTTGTTATCAAATAGGACATAGCGTCTGATAAATTGACTGATTTAAAGCAGCATGCCTCGAGATTCATGCCAATTTTCATGAAAATTTTAAAAATGTATTGATAAGTTAATTAATGTGAAGTGAACAAAGAAAAACGTACACGTTCTAGACAGCACTTGTAATCCATGTAAATGACCAAAATAATGTCAAAATAAGCAGAACAAAGAGCCCTTACTGCGTAAGTAATTTAACGCAGTAGAAATATGATGATAAATACTGTAAATTCAGTCCTTATTTACACATAACATGTAAATCATTCCTTGAATCAAATTTTCTTTACTTTTCATGAAAACGTAGAATATTTTACTCAAGTTTGATTTTCTTGAAACATTTTGGCTCATCTTGATGCATGAAGCTTTAATTTTAAAATAAATTTATGTTGGTATAAAATTTAGTTTCTTTTGATATCAATATAATATACTCTGACGCATTGTTTGATATTTCCCCAATCGGATTTTGAATTATACATGTGTTCATACTCTGCATTAAACATTAGGGGATGGCAATTAAAATTGAAAGTGTGTAAACACTTTTTCTTCTTTTAGATTTTTTTATTATTTCTTATTGATTTTTATTTTGTTGTTGTTTTTGTGTTTTTATAACGATTTAGTGGATTACTGATTTATCCGTGAATAATATATTTGATAATTTCACAGTGAAAATTATCAAAATATAATTTCACACTTTCAATGACGAAACTAGTTTTTTCAGAATTTCCCCATGTGTTACCTCAATTTTTTTTGCTGACAATTCTGTCAATGTCAGGCTGTTTAAAGAAAAGCAAAGCTGAAATTGATAAATAACTAAAATGTCAAAAGTAATAAAAAGAAGAAAACTTACTTCTATTCATTCAAATTACCAATCACCAAATATTGTCTCTTAATTTTTTTGTTTCATTTTTACAGTCTGAAAAATACATTCCTTCCACATGCAAAACTGCTCTTGATGATATTTGGGCATATTTAAGTATCCTACGAACAATAACTGTCGTATGCTTTATGAAAACTTGAAAAGCAATTACAGCCATCAGCCCGAAGAATAAGTAAACAACCCAGCGTTCGTAAGGCAGTTTTCAACAATTCCAAGTTTTCCAATTTCCTAGCCACTTTTTGAATGTTTACACATTTGTCAACACTTATTTATTGTCTGTTATTACAATCCTCAAATAAGTTTTCTTTCTTTTAAAAAGGTGTATGACTAATAAATGATATCCCTCTGAATAAAACACAATTATTTTCCTCCCGTGAAATACACAACTTTTAAAAATGTCGGCCGCTTACATTTAACAAAGCGAGGTCTAATATAAATTCGCAGTAAGTAACAGAAATAATGATGAATGGTTGGACTTTTTGTTCTACTTGAATTGTTTGTTTTCATTATTTAAACAAGCGATCATTCACATTTTTTCAAAAAAAAAAAAAGAATAATATCACAGCCATTTAACGTTGATTGTCGAACTTATTTTCAGCCCAAGACGTCTTGTATTTAATAACAAAATCGACTAAATGGGGCTCTCAATGGGGAAACAGATTTTAATATTAACGTTAATATTAAGGAAATTTCGTTTTAATTTGTTTTTAAGCATAAGATAAAAAGAAAACTTGTATGTTTGTTGTGTAAGATGTAATTTTATTTCATCTCGTTAACTTTAAAAAACAGTATTCTCTGCTCTCTGTAAAACTGTTTTTAAAGCCCACTCGATGAAATAAAATTTCACCTTACACACAAACAAATAAATAGTCTGTATATAATCAAAAAAATAGATTGATTTGTTTATACATTTTCTATTAAGCCTCTATTGCACTAAAACCTATTTGGGTCTCAACATTCTAAAATATGAAAATATATAGACGGTGTCAAGATGTTTGACCGTTTTATTTTCGGTGAAACTCGCCCTAATTTACATTATTTTCTAACATTATTTATCAAAGATGTTTGACTGTTGTTGTTATTTTTTCCTATATAAAATACATATTTGTTGTTTATTTAATTTTTAACAGGTTTTTGCATGTATATGTGAAATAAGATATAGTCTGGGATAGAAAGAAATGTATGACTGATAAAAGTCCTAATATTTGACATTTGACAATGCGGTATTACGTATATTTGGTTGACCTAATGGACCCTTTATCAATTTTGTTTTGATCATACTTTTTGATAATTTCATAATCTTAATTTACCTTACTTATTTCATTATTTTCAAAAAAGGGTTTGAGTGCGAGAAATTATCGTCAAATGTCATTTGTTTCATGCCTTGTTCGTGTGTGCGTGTGTGAGTGCATGTCTGTGGTTACTTGGTTTGTTTTTTATGTTATTATTAAGACTAGAAAAATTACTGACTAATACACAAATATCGTACAAAAACTTAAAACTTACATGTAGGGTAAATAGAATGTAAACAAATTACACGGATTCCTCTGAATGGCATGATGTAATTTAGAGGCGAAACTAGAGATAGATTAATGTTTCAGTGTAAAAAATAACAATGTACATCTTTATAATCATATGAGCTGCGTCACGACAAAACCAACGTAATGCGTTTGCGACCAGCATGGATCCAGACCAGCCTGCGCATCCGCGCAGTCTGATCAGGACCCATGCTGTTCGCTTACGACCCGTATAACAAGTAGAGAAACTGATAGCGAGCGAACAGCATGGCTCCTGATCAGACTGCGCGGATGCGCAGACTGGTCTGGATCCATGCTGGTCGAAAACGCATTACGTTGGTTTTGTCGTGACGCGGCTCAATTATATGTCTGCAAGAAACCTAAGCCTATCCATCATATCTCATTTATATGTGTTTTGTATTTTTATGTTTGTATTTATTTCCTTATTTTGTACATAAATAATCTACATAATTTGTATTAATAAAACATGACATTTTAATCACAGTTAACGGACTAGTAGATAAGCTCAAGTCGGAAGTAAAACGAATCGTCTGCTTCAGTTAAGGCCATAAAGCAGACGAAATGAATACCGTCTTTATCATTTATAATAGATAGAATACAGGAAGTTAAATTGAAAGGAAAACCTGAAAGATGTTTACCTCCGTTTTATATTAAATTTTATATAATATATTGTATTAAACAATTGCCAAAAGATTTGTCCGCCTTTGAATTTGGAAGTTCATTCCAACTTTGACACACCCTTATCACTTTCTGTTTCAGAAGGTTGAAGGTTAGTATTTAAAAATAAATCGTTCCAGCAGAAAGAATTAAAACTATTGAAACATGACCTATAAGAGTATATGTGAAAATATGTCATACGTTATAAACATATGATTATTTATTCAACGCAAAATGTACTTATATGTGTGGAATATTAAATAGATCGAATACAACGCTACAATAGTTGAGACTTCTTTCAAACAAGTTTTAAAATAACAATGAATAAGGGACAAAAAATGTTTTTGCATAAAATACACAACATACTTTTGTCAGTGCATGCGATCAAATGTGAAATGTGTGTTTTTAGTTGATACTATTTATAGAAAAAAAATATTTCCTTGTTTTTAAAACGACAATTCTTCAAAAAAAAAAACTTCCGGTTTATACAACATTATCGTTATCAAGCATTTACTTACAGTGTTATATGCTGGAAATATATCCATTGTCCGACTAATATCAACAAATAACTTATAAACCTTGTGATAAACTTCAATTTTCCATTATTTCACCCTACCCAACACCGATAAACAAGAAAGGCAATGGTTAGTAAACAAGTTTATCTGTTAAGCCGACTTTGATCAATAATTGCATATAGCCCGGGATAGTTTAAAATTGCATAAATGATTTCCGCCCTTTTATCTCAACTTTAGATACTTCACAGATAGATGATTCATTTATGATTATGCAGCCATTTATATATTTCGATTTAATGAGGCTCTGAAGTATAAGGCGTTAAAGGCACACCACCACTTATTATTTTTAACCCTTACAAAACACGCTTACTATCTTAATATATAGACGTGTCCATCTTTCAATGTGCACGAAACCATTCGTCATTTTTCGGGAACATTAAGAGATAACTACCGACTGAATAGCAAGAATTGCAGACGATGGTCAGACGATACAGATGTGCCGGTTGATCTTCGTCTGCTGTCGTTTTTCATCTGACTTAGCGTTAAAAATATATATTCTCAGTCGGGACGCTAGCGTGCCAACCTTTTAAATTACTTTTTTGATGATCAGTGTAATGTAAGCCGCAATATCTTTAATACACCACACTTTCTTTAACAGTGTTCAATTTTCACTGTAGAAAATATTAAAATCATTCAACCCAAAGAAAAATATATATTTAACAACATAAAAATCAAGAACGAGGCAACTGTTTACAGTCATCTGCCTTATTAGACTTTGTCACTAAGTTATGGACTTAATTCGTTATATTACCCGCTAAGTATCGAATGCATACTTTTTAATATTATACTTCCATTATAATTATATGTTAAACATAAAGAAAACTATTCGTATGGTGCGAGGCAGAATGAAACGTAGATACAATATATTTTCTGTATTTATAAAAATGAGTTTACCTATTTTATAATTGTAAAGTCGTGACGGGTCTTTAACGTTCAGCGAAATATTATATAAGCAAAACATTTTTTATATTTCAGAACATTGGTTATATAAGAACCCTTTTTTCAATCATTTATCCACTTTAAGAGCAATAAATAAGAATATATTGTTCACGCCTATATTCAACAGTACAATAAAATCTGAATAAATATTACAGTTTTATGAAACTTTACCCAAATAAACTTAAATAAACTTGGATGCTTGATAAATTCGATTATTGATTAAAATTCAAATTAGTGTTCTTCTTTAAACCTCACTAAAACCGAATGATGCATCTTACAAAACATTTGAGCTGCGTCATGACAAAACCAACATAATGGGTTTGCGACCAGCATGGATACAGACCAGCCTGCGCATCCGCGCAGTTTGATCAGGATCCAGGCTGTTCGTTTACCAACCCTATTACAAGTAGAGAATTTGATAGCGAACAGTAGGGATCCTGATCAGACTGCGCGGATGCGCTGGCTGGTCTGGATCCATGCTGGTCCCAAACCCATTATGTTTGTATTTCTTGCGTGTTACAGTAATTTTGTAACCTTTGATGGTTTTCATCATCTAACCCGGCTACAAGAATAGACAAGTTCGTTGTACTAAGATGGTTATGTACCTATATAAATTCACTGACATAATTGTTAATTTAATATCATAAAATACTATTATTTGATAAAATATACTTATTATGTCAACAAGACATCACAGATAATTCCTCAATTCATTTTACATTGTGTGCACACTTGGTTTTAATGAAGTTTAATGGCTTTTCCAAACCATTGGTGATTGTCGAATGTTATGCAATGGCTTAAAGATCAGTTTTTACAAAATTGGTCTGGTAGATGAAATGACTCTAGCAGAGAAATCTTTCACAGGTCACAGGTATATATCAAACAACAAATTTCAATCATATCTTGATATTATATGTGTAAGAAAAATTCGCTTGTGTATGTGTCGCCGCATAGGCTTTTTATTGAAACTGGTCAGTGGGTGCACCAATAAATGAAAGGAAATGTATTCTTTGTGATAAGTCAGAAGATGAATATCATTCAGTTTTGTAATGTACACAATAATTTGAGGAATTTTTTTATACAAAATTATTTTGTAAATCGCCATAAAAGATGCAAATATTTATCGATTTAATGAACTAATTGAGGAAAGTTTGAACGAGTACATTAAAAAAATAATGTGATATGTCATATTTGAGAAATATATATTTATAAGTACAAGTTATGGTACTCTATGATTTTTTCATGCACTGTTTTAAAACGCTAAGATGCTGCTATTCATGTCACAGTGAAATGGTAATGCATATGATACTATATATTAATTTCTAAAAGAAAAAAATAATATCTTAATGTAACGTTTTACATTTGGTAATTTCAGTTTTCGAACTACTATCAATGTTGAAAATAGCAAGACATTTTTGTCATGCACAATATTCCAAATCCTAATGGAATTTTTAATCCTTGTTTTTATCACAAATAACCAAATCATGTTTAAATTTAACACTTGTATTTGGGATGCACGTAGCTTGACTTGCCGCAATATTTGTATTCATATATGTTTTCATCACGTGGGTCTAAGACCTTCAGGGAATAAGCAATGGATTGAAATAAATGTATACAGATTTGTCAAAATTGTTGAACATGCGGCATGTCAGATTCAGAGTTTCAAAAATACTTCAAATCTGACCTTTGTTAATTTAACTTTTCTTCTGTGTAAAACGTCACATTGTATAAAAACAAAACTATGTTATGATAATACGCTAATAAATGAGAAAATGAACGATCATGTGGCAAGCTATAAAATATTGGGGAAGTAAACATAACACCCAAAAAATTTGCCCCACCCCTTTGCAGATTTGAACTCGAAACAGCATATCATATCTTGAACGCTCTAACCATAAGCTCTTCGAACTTATATGTCCATACCCACTTTTCTTGTATTGTTTTGCAATAAAGATGCATAATATAATAATTATATTACTTGCAAACCCTATTATGTCACAATGGAACGATATAATGAAAAGGTCATTGAGTTCGGCTTATAAAAAAGGGCAAACACTTTATTGTTACATATTCACAGGTCTTTCACACTTTTCCTCCGTTTGTGCGATTATATCTATAAATAAACACATGTCGCTTTGTCGACAAAAGTAGACAATATGCATTCTAAATGTATTCTATTGTCCCGATTTCAAAGTCGTGATCATGACGCTTTCACAGTCATATTACAGTATATACATTTTAATGTCGACATCGTGTTTCAGTTTTTTTTTTTACTTGTATTAGTATCCAAAAAAGTCTTTTAGAACATAAGTGATGAAGGTAAATTTCACAATTAATGATACTTTAACATTTAAATCTATTTCAACACCTTTTACATATTTAGGCATAGTGATGTAAACATATCTGCTCGTGTGCATGCGTGCTTGCGTGCGTGCGTGGGTGCGCGTGGGTGTGTGTGTGTAAGTCAAATTATTTTTTTTTCTTTTACAGATAATGTACTTTTATGAAGGTGAGATGTTAATCAGAATCAAAATTGTAATATGTGCAAATGAGGGAAATATTAAAAGAATTGAATTAACAAATTTTGGATTTCTTTATCATACTTCATTCATACTACATGTTGTCAGTTTTTTTTTCTTTTAAACATCGTAAAAATCCCAATTCTGGGGTCCGGGTCGTATTCCCAAAGTACTGAGAAAAAACAAATATTTATATATATAAACGACCAAAATACAGATAGATAAACAGACACATTAAACTGTTAAATTGTCTGCTTGTGAAATACTTTTTCGATTTTACTCATTTTGTACACGTCAGTCGCCATAACCTAAAATGTTCGCACGTTCCATTTTCAGAAATGCATCATTATCATCAACTTTGGGGATATGAAGATGAACATCTGAAAATTATCAGTCAAATGTACAGACCTTTATACGACGTGGTCTGTTGCTATGGAAAAAAAACAACCACAGGAAGTCGTATTTTATCGCGCATGCGCAATCTGCGTAGGGCAAAAACAGCATCGAGCCTGGCCAGACTGCACAAACATAGGTGTCAAAGGCTCTTCAGTGAGGATAAGGTTTCAGCTTTGTGATGTTATACGATTAATACTTGAAATGATTTGTGAACGATAGGTTAATTATAGATATAAATCTGATATGACGTCACAATTTTTATTTTAAATGTCACTTATGTTTTTGTCTATTATTATCAGTATTTAGCAGAGAGATAAGGAGTGCGACTTATTTTAACTGCCATTGGATAGACGGGTAAGTCATAATAGTAGTTGTTAAACTGAATGTTTACAATTATTCTGCGAAAGAGAGAGAGAGAGAGTGCGAGAGAGAGAGAGAGAGAGATAACATTTGTAATCCATTTATGGGAGATAACGAAGTTGGCAACATCTATAATTCTTCATTGTACTAGTATATTTCTAATGATTTACAAAGGGCTAGAAAAAAATGTTTCAACACAGGGAGAAAAGACAAAGTTATAGCATCAAAACTGATTTGAATTAAGCGAAAAGAACGAGTTATGTTATATGCTTATTGTCATCAATTGTTGAGTCGATATGAGCCAATTTATTTATACAATTCGATGGTTAGTTTACAAGTTTAAAGTGACATTATGCTCATATTTTCATTGTCAAAATTAGCTGAATTGACTTTAAACTTCAAATGATTGGCTGTTTAAATGATTGATCAACAGTTGATATTGGACAATGTTAACGATGAAATAGAAATTTGCCTAAAATGTAAAATTTTGCCCTGTAACACCGCACTTTGGGGTCAAACGCACTTTGGGGTCCGACCCCAAAGTGCGTTACGTACTTTGGGGTCCTACCCCAGAGTGCGTTACGCACTTTGGGGTCCAATTTCGACCTCAAAGTGCGTTAAACAGGTACATATGTATTTTTTAACATCAGGCAAACGACCGCACTTTGGGGTCATAGAAAATTAATGTTTTAAATAATATATTGTAGTCAAAGCCAATGATAAACATAAAATCAAGATATTAAATAGACACAAACATGTGCCCTGAATAATAGTAGAATCAATAGGGATTTAAATGGTCTTGATTAGTAAGTGAAGAACTTTCACCAAATAAATCACCAAATAAAGAATTTGTATCAATTATTAAGCTTAAAATATTTTTCTCAAATTTTCCATTTATTTTAAAAGAATGTACACCTTTCATTAAATCCATTGTTTTTAGCTAAATGC